TCCTTTTTACCCATCTCACAGTAGAGGTGTCCGTTTTTATTTATTATTTATTGTTCACATGACATGCACATGTGCTTGTGCATGCACATGTGCATGTGCATCCCTCTTCATGTCGGTCGTCGTGTGTGGCCGCGCGTATGTGCGTACTTCTCGGGTCCGTTGGCCTCTTTGTAGGGAAGAATTTGATACCCGTCAACCACCGCCACCCTCGCCGCCGCCGTCACATCCGCCGCCCTCATCACCACCCTCGCAGCCGCCCTTTTTGCCGCCGCCCTCGCCGCCAGCCATCCTTCAATTCCCCCCCAACACACCCTCTCCACCCTCGCTCCCGCCCTCGCCTCCGCCGCCCTCGCCGCCACCCTCACCACCGCCGCCCTCGCCGCCGCCGTCACGTCCGCCGCCCTCGCCGCCGCCCTCGCCGCCGCCACCCTCGCCGCCGCCCTCGCCACCAGCCTACCATAGATTCCCACCCCAGGGCCCCCCTCCACCCTCGCTCCCGCCCTCGCCGGCCCCTCCGCCGCCGACCCTTCCGCCACCAGCCCCGCTGCCGCCCTCGCCTCAGCCGCCCTCGCCGCCTCCCCCCTCGCCACCTCCGCCGATTGCACCACTCCCGTCGCCCCCGCCTCCCTCGCCGCCTCCCTTGCCTCAGCCGCCCTCGCCGCCTCCCCCCTCGCCACCTCCGCCGATTGCACCACTCCCGTCGCCCCCGCCTCCCTCGCCGCCTCCCTTGCCGCCGCCTCCCTCGCCGCAACCCCCGCCGCCGCCAAAGCCGGAACGGCCGCCAATGTCGCCGCCACCCTCGCCTCCACCGCCCTCGCCGCCGCCGCCAGAGGCGCCTGCGCCGATACCGCCGCCGTTCCCACCGCCACCCTCGCCGCCGCCCTCGCCGCCGCCCCTAATGCCACCACCACCGTCACCGCCGCCGTTCCCGCCGCCATCCCTACCACCGCCAATGTCGCCAACGTCGCCCTCACCGCCTCCACCATCGCCACCGCCGCCTATAACACCACTCCCGTCACCCCCTCCCCCCTCGCCTCCACCCTCCACTCCGTCGCCCTCTCCGCCGCCCTCTCCGTCGCCTTCACCGACCCCTCCTTCCCCGGCTTTGCCTCCCTCCGAACCGCCCACCTGGCCTAATGTTTCCCCAAGTCCACCGTCGCCGCCCACGCTGCCACCCCCACCACCGCCCTCGCCGCCCTCACCACCACCGCAGCTGCCTAGTCCCCCTCCCTCGCCCGCGCAACCACACGTCGATGTAATCGGCTTTCCGTCGCCGCCACCCTCGCCACCGCCATCACCGCTGCCGCCCTCGCCCCCGCTGCCCATGCCCCCTCCACCCTCGCCGCCGCCCTCGCCGCCGCCTCCCTCTGCACCGCCCGTCTGGCCTAACGTTTCCCCCCACCCCCCGCCCTCGCCGTCCCCGCCCTCGCTACCTCCTGTGCCGCCGGCCTCGTCCTTGCCACCGCCCTCGCCGCCGCCGCCCTCACCGCCGCCGCCCGAGACACCAACGCCGACCCCGCCGCCAGGTGTGGTCGGCGACTAGCCGGGGTCGTCCTCCCGATGGGGGACTAGCACTAGCCGTCTTCCACATGGTCCCTCGGGTCCCTGTTGCTCCTAATCTCTTCGTACATCCTCCTGCTGATCTCCGCAAAGTCCTGCTCCCTCCCTCGTCTCGCCCTGCGCGTCTGCTCCGCCTCCCCGTCGTCTGCCCTGCGTCGTCTGGTGACGGGTCCTCCATAGTCGGTCGAGGTCGCCGCCCTCCTCGTGCCTCTTCCCAACGTTCCCTCGGCGGCCGATGCCGTCTGCTCCGGCTCCCCAGTCCCCGGGTCTGCCCTGCTCTCGTCTGCGCTAGCTTCTGTTTCGTCATCACTGGTGTCTCTCCTCTTCCTTCTCCCCGGGGGTCTGTTGACCCCGGTTAGACCCTATGCAATAGGTAGGTAGGTCCGGTTTTGACCGCCCCAGAGGGCCCCGCAATAGGTAGGTAGGGTGGTGTGTGTGGTGGTGTGGTGTGTGTGTGTGTGTGGGGGGGGACCGCTTCGCTCGCGCGGGAGTAGGCGCGTTTAGCCGCGAACGGGGCCAACGCCTCGAGAGCCCAGTAGGCCATGCTCTGGCGGGCGGCGCGCACCGCGGTACAAGCCGGCGCGCGGCGGGCGCTGGGAGCCTACTCGAGTATTCACAGAGGGCTAACGGGTATTTTTCGCTTCGCTGCGCGGCCAGGGTTCCAACTTTTTCCGGGGTATGGTATGGTAGGGTCGCGGCCCAAAGGGGTAGGGGGTATGGTCCTGCCCGCCAAGACTAGCCCTACCATACCCCCAAGCAGGTCTGCCAGCAGGCGGGGGGGTATGGTCTTGAGCTGGCATGCGCGACCCAACCATACCATACCCCGGAAAAAGTTGGAACCCAGGGAGTAGGTGGTGGGGCACGGAGCCTGGCGACTGGCGACTGGCGACTGGCGATTGGCGCCGCAATTGGTTTGGTGCGAGTCAGCCGCAGCCCCTACTCGAGTATCTGGCTACTGTAGGAGCCGGAACCCAGTTGGCGTGCCGGTGCTAAGGCTCAGCGTCGCCAACCGTCGTGTGTTCGGCTCGCATGTCTGGTCCAGACGTGCCGTCGCTCGACCCAGAGGAGGCGCTACAGCTCACGCAGCGGGGCGGCACTCTGGTGTGCCTCGGCCTTCCCGCGGGCCGGGAGTTTGGCGTCGACTTGCGCTCGTACACCGTCGGGGATCGCTTTGGCGGCATGAAGATGATCCCGACGCAGGGCGTCCACTTCCTCGTCTTTGGCACCGACATGGATCGCACAGGCTGCTTCGTCTCGCTCGCTCCCTCCGAGGTGGCCGTGTTCCGGTGGGATGCGGCGGTGGAGTTGCTGCTGCCTCTGGCGCCCGCCGAGGCAGCACCTCACGCTGCCGCCACATCGAGGCGCCAAGCCCCATCCCACCGACCCATCGATGCCCACGCATCGAGACACTCGCGCCCGCTGACTGGTCGCCGCCGTCCCGTAGCCTCTCGCTCGACGCGTCGCTCGGCCCGTACCCGCTGGGCACTTGGGGAGAATGGGCCGCGCTCACGCAGCACATCTCGCCCGCGGCCCTCGCCCGGGCCGCCATCGCGCCGCCCACGCTCGTCGGTCCCTCGGCAGCCGAAGACCTCGAGGCCCTCCCTGCCGGGGCAGGCGCCTCCGCGGCGCGCCGCCGCAGCCGCTGCGCCCAGGCTGAAGCTGTCCAGGCTGAAGCCAATGTGGCAGCGCCGGCCGCACCCGCCGCTGCCGGGGAGCGGGCGGGGAGCTGCGCAGCAGGTGGCGGCGGCGTACCAGGAGGCGGCCTACGGGACATGTCCCGGACATGCCATGGACATGTCCATAGGTGGCGCAGCAGGTGGCGGCGCATCTGAAGGCGGCTCGGAGGGTGGAGGTGGGTGCGGTGGCGGTGCAGCTGCGGTCACCGCCACGGCGAGATACGTCGAGGTGGACCCTCACGCGCTGCGCCCGGACGGCAGCCGTGGCGTCGGCGGGCGACGCGGCGGCGCACTGACCTCTTTTCTGCTCGACCGGTCCGAGTGGCTCGGCTGGCTGCTCGCGCACGAGTACTCTCCGCCGCCGGACTCGAGTCGGCCGCCGGCTCGCGCGGCCGACGGGCTGAGCGCGTGCGAGGCGGGTTTGCTCGGCGAGCTGCAGCTGTCCTTCCTGCTCTTCCTCCGCCTCTCCTGCCTCGCGTCGCTCGAGCAGTGGAAGCGGCTCGTGTCGCTCCTGTGCGGCTGCGAGGCTGCGCTCAAGGCACGCGACACTAACCCTAACCCTAACCCTAACCCTAGAGGCTGCGCTCAAGGCCCGCGACACGTCCTCTTCGGCGCCGCCTTTTCGGCGCCGCTTCGGAAATCGCCCTCACAACGCTTGTGCTGTCTAGGCGCGCACCGCGCTCTTTGTTGGATTCGTGCAGGCCCTCCGCGCGCAGGTGCGATGCCCCTCGGCCGTGGCTGCCCTTCCACCCTTGGCCGTCCCCCCTATCCGGACCCCGCCTGAGCCGGGCCGCGGCTGGCGCAGCTCGCGTTCGCGCCGCCCGACTTCTTTGACGACGAGCTCTCGGCCGACAACTTCTTGCGGCGCGCACGGGGGGGGGAGGGAGGGAGGGAGGGGGGGGGGGGGGCGTTTGCCCGGTTCAGCCGCTAGATTCCACGCCGCGGTCCTTGCTTTCAAGGTCGGCGCTCGGCGGACTCGCCGCGCGCGCGGGCGCGGAACCGCTCGCCAAGGCGGAGGGGCAACAAGCTCTCGCGCCCGCTCTCGCCGCCGAGGCGTGTCCCCCACTCTTTTGTGAGTCGCTTGCCCTCCCCCTCTCAACCCGTCCTTCCCTCCCCGCATTAGCTCGCAAGGCTTCGCGCGTTTGCCCTCGAGCGCTTCCGAATCGACATCGAGGTGGACTTGGCCGACGAGGACGAGGACGAGCCAACTGTGGTGGAGTTGCCGACCGACCGCTGAAAAGGTCAGAAGGTGCAGCCGGTGCTGATCATTGGTAGTTAGACCATGCACGACTCTCATAATAGAATCCAGTACCGGTCGCATCCGTCGCGACCGAGGACCGTGAAAAGATGCACAACAAGTAAAAAAGACTAACGTCAACGAGGCGCCGCGGCGCGCGGGAGCAACGTTTGGGCGAACCCGAACACGGGGGGGGGGAGGCCCGTGCAGAGGTGCATGGCCAGCGCGCCACACACACTTCGATTACCAGTCAGATGTCAGAGTACCGTGTGCAGGAAAAACGTAATCTCTGCAGTAGCATACCGCATCACTTCACAGCGTCTCTTCGGCGGCGAACGAGGTGAGTTCTTCCGAGACCGCAGGCATTGCATGCAGCGTAGCCGCGGTGAGCCGAGGCCCCGTCTCAGCCATTCCACGCTTCGCATCGCCCAAGCACATGAGCATGCCATGTCCACGCACGCCGCGCCCCCAATTCTCGACGTGTCGTCGACGTGCTGGCGCTTGAGCCGACCCTCAGGCCCAGCTGCTCAGGCCCCTCCGAGGCGCGCCAGCCGCGCCTCGCGCATGCGGCGAAGCTCCTCCTCCCCGTCGCCGTCCTCCTCAGCCGCGCGTCTTGCCTCGAGCGCGCGCTTGGTCCCTGCCGCCGCCGCTGCCGCCGCCGCTGCCGCGGGTGGGCCTGGCGTTCCAGCCGTCTCAGCCGCAGCCGATCCCGCCGCCGCCGCCGCCGCCGTCAAAGGCGCTTCCTCATCCGACGTGTCCAACTCTATCGGATCGCCCTCCCCGCCGCCGCCGCCGCCGGCGCTCGAGCCGGGCTCCGTTGCGACGGGCGCTCCTGCAGCACGGAGCGATGCGCGGATCGCCTCCTGCAGCTCCTCCTCCTCGATGGCGAGTGCCACGGACCCGAGCGGCGAGGCGGCGCCGCCGAGGCGCAAGCCCCCGTTCGGCGGCCATGAGTCTGCGGCCGCCCTCACACCGCACGCCACGCTCTCGGGCAGGGGGAAGTGGAGCTCCGACGGCGGGAAGCGAGCGTGCCGGTGCCGCTGCGTCGCGACGTGCCGCCTCATCCGCTCGCCCTCCTCTCGCAGCTCGGCGAGGTCGCGATCGTTCAGTCTCGCAGCGCTGCTCTGGGGCCGGAACTTGTCCTGCGCGGCGATGCGCCGCCGGAGAGCGGCGCGCTCGGCCTCGTCCGTCGCCTGCCGCAGCCGCTCCTGCAGGCATGCGTCGCTGAACGCCTTTGTCGCGCGAAGCGTCAGCGCGCGCCGCATGTTGTAGGGATTCCACGGCGGTGGCGGTGGCAGGGAGCCAGGCTTCTGTTGCCGGATGCCGTGCTTCCACAGCGTGCGCGCCTCGCCGCTCATGACGTACACGGAGCGGCGGGGCAGCTCCAGCTCGATGGCAAACGATCCCGATTCGTCATAGTGCTTGATCCGCACGCGGAAGGCGTCGGCCCCGCCAGCCTCGCCGGCGTCGGGCGGCGCGGCGGCGGGGGGGCCTGCAGCCTTGATCGCCTGTGTGTTTGGCTCAAAGTAGACTGTGCCGGCCTGCCCCAGCGTGACGCCGACCACAGTCTCTCCCCACCGGTATCTCGAATCCAGGTGCTTGTTGAAGGCGGCTTTTGGAGGGTAGGTGATGGCGTATACGTAGTCGGGCGTGACGTAGCCGGGATAGAGGCCGCAGTCGCCGACCAAGTTGCATACACGAAACAGGTCGACGTCGTCGGGCAGCGGGCGGTGGCACCGACCGGCACGTCGACCGTCCGCATCGCTGTTTGGTCCGTGCGATTCCTGCGGCGCGTGGATGCGCTGAGACTCGAAGAGGCGCCGCTCGGCGGCTTCGCCAAAGGCGTCGAGCGCGATGTGGAGACCGTCGACGCCCGCGACATTTTTCACGAGCCTCATGCCGGCAGTTGCGTATCAGATTAGGTCAATGGCGGCGAGCGCGCTGAGCGGCTGTCGAGCGGGAAGTAAAAGAAAGGCGCAAAGCACGTAGGCCAAGGGAGGGATGGGAGGACGGCACACCGCCACCACACATGGATTTTAAGGAGAGGAGTGTGGTGCTAGCCGTCGCCCACACCCTCGGGCGTCTACCACTTCCTATCTCTCTCCGCAGTTTCTCACCAATTCTCGCAGCGACCTTCATGCCACCTCGCGTTCTTCCCACTCTCGTCGTTCTCTCTCCTGCTGTCTCTTCCCCTGACTCATCGCTCTCCTCGGCCTCGTTCTGAGACGCCGCTGCCGTCTGCCTTGCTCTCGCTGCTTCTCTCGCCTTTCTGCGTAACTCTGGCGGAGTCCGTCCGCTCTCCTCTCCGCGTATTTTGGTCCCTCGAGTTTATCGAGCATTCCTCGCGCAAGGACCACATTTCTGACTCCCACTGCGAGCATATCCCGCCCTGTCATGTCGTTGCTCAGGTCCACTCTCGTTGCGGAAAGTGGCCGGAGCCTCCCGCCCCGAAGTTTTCTTTTATTTTGCCCTCCGCAATTCGAGTTTCGCTTGTTTGTAATATGCCTGCGTATGGCGGACGCAGGCTTCTTTTCTTCGTGTTTCTTTAAGATGCGATTTGAATACCAGCAACAGAAGCGGCCATCAGCCTAGAAAGAAAGAAAGAAAAGACAAACCAAGTGCACCAACGTTGGCCTATCCACAGTCAGAACGCGGTAAAATTCTTCCGCGCTCGCGCTTCACTCAAAAAGCGACGGCCGGGTGTGGGCTGATCCCTTGCCCCGTCACCCGCCGCCCTCGCCCGGCCGCCTCACCGCGCACGGAGCGCTCGGCTGCTCGCCGCCGCCGCCGCGCGTCCCGCGCCGCCACGCTTGCCCCCCCTTGCCGGACACGCGCTCTGTGCAGCGGCGCAGAGCGCGCGTCCCTGGCACAGACGGAGCAGCGACCGCGCCAGCGGTCGCTGCTCCGCCCCTCCGTCGCGCGCGCCGCGCGCGCGCTGCCGCCGCCGCCGCCGCCGCCCCCTCCTTGCCGTCTTCCCCACCCCTACCCTCTGTTGCCCGCACGCGCGCGCCGCGCGCTGCGCGCCCCCGCCCCCGCCCCCGCCCCCGCCCCCGCTCGACTATAAAATTAAGGCGGTATGGTTATAAAATTCTTCCGCGCTCCGCTTCACCGCTTCGCCGGGCAATCGCCGGGGTGGGCGCCGGGCGGCTCCGGCCACCGCCCGTCTCAAAATTTATATGGGCCTCTTCGCCACCGCGGCCGGCGGCAAGATCGCAATCTCCACGGCCGGCGAGGCGCGTGCCCAGGAGTGGCTGAAGAGCGTCGACGGCCCGTCGGGCAGCTGCTTCGAGCCTGCCGCCGCCGCCGCCACCAGCGACGGCTTTGCGACGGCGGCGGCGGCCGTGGCGGCCACGCCGGTCGCCTGCGGCGCGATCGGCGCGGCTCCGCCCCCGGTTTACGCCATGCATCGGCCGTCGGGCCCGGGCGCCTTCAAGCGGCCTCGGCGGAGTGTGGGCGCGCCGTCGGCCGCACAGGCAGGCGCTGCGGCTGCCGCAGCCGCACCGAGCGCAGCCTCGTCGACGGTGCCGATGGCGCCCGCACAGGCCGGCGGTGGGGAGCTCGGCGCGGCTCAGTCCCACCGGCGGCCTCTCGCACCGACTGACGCCTCCCTCCGGGCCGCGAGGCGAGGGCCGGGCACCGCTACAGCGGCGCGACGCGGACCTCGCGTGACAGCAGCCCTCCCGGCGCACGCTCGCAGGCCTGGGCACCGCCCGCCAACGACAGCGAACAGCGCACCGCGCGCCGGCGGCTTCCGCGCCCCTCGCCAGCTGCCAAAGCCTGCGGCTGGAAGGACTGCGGCGGGCGCCGAGCTTACGAGCGGCCACCAGCTGACGAGCGGCAACCACGCCGAGCCCCACCACGCCAAGCCGCGGGTCGAGTCTGCGCCGGCACTGACGACCCCCCCCCCCCCCCCTCCCCCCGGCCGCCGCCACAGACCCACGCCTCCTCCCCACTCGTCCCTGGATGCACCCCCCCCTCCCCCCCTCCCCCTTTCAGGCGCTCTCTAGAGCCGCCTGGCCGGCGCCGCTCGCCTCCGTGCCACCGCCGGCTGCTGCGGGGGCTGAGGCGCAGCTCGGCCGTCCCCGCCCCGCCGCCCCTCTCTGCCCACGCCGCCGCGCCCCACACCCCCCGCCGCGCGTGCGCAGGTCTGCCTCGGCGGCTGCGGCGAGGTGCCGCTCAATCGCCGCCGCTGCCCCTCGTGCTGCGAGAGGTGCGCCGTCACCGCTGCCGCTGTGCCGCCCTAGAGGAGCCAGTCTTAGAGGAGCCAGTCTTAGAGGAGCCGGTCTTAGAGGAGCCAGTCTTAGAGGAGCCGGTCTTAGAGGAGCCAGTCTTAGAGGAGCCGGTCTTAGAGGAGCCAGTCGCCGCCCCTGCGAGAGCTGTGCCGTCGAGTCCGCGCAACCGCTCTGGTGCGCACGGCCTGGTGGGCACGGCCTCGGCCTCGAGACCTCGAGACCTCGAGACCTCGAGACCGGGCCTGCGACTCGCCACTCGCCTCGCGTGCCGGTAGGTGCGGCGGGCAGCTGGACGACCCGAGCGAGGCGCAGGTGCTGCACGCGCCGGGCTGCAGGCACTCCAGCGGCGGCTACCTGCGAGGTCCGCGGCCGGCAGTCTCGCAGAGCGGGAGCGGCAGAGGCGTGCGGTAAGACTCTGAGTCCAAGAGAGGAAAAAGTGAGAGAGAGGAGAGACGTCTGAGAGAGCGCAGCGGGCAGGCCCACGCTCCGCGCCTTGTGGCAGGGCTCCTAGCTGTAAAAAGAACGAACGAGACCCCCCGTACGAACGAGAGGAGCAGGAGGCAACGTGCGAGCTCTCTCGACATCAAGAGAAAAAATAAGTAAATACGAAAATCGTAATCGAATGAGGAATGTGTTGGAGATTCAAGATTCTCCGCGGATCGTGATACACCGCTTTTTACGGGGTGTGGAGGGTGAGTTGAACAAGGGGTTGTGCGCCGGGCCCTCCTGCTCGGCTCCAGCCCCTGTTGATAGGTCCAGGTGATAGTCCTGGATGGGCAATGCATACGCCTCACTGGGCCTTAGATCGCCCGACCGCGTCCCGGGTGCTCTGCTGCCGTTGGATTTGTGACTCCGCCGCACCGCGCCGCGGCCGGGGGCCCTCCGGAGGCCGAGGATGGCCGTGACGGACCGGGACGAGCTCTGGGAGGTCCAGTGTCAGTGTATATATTGTAGAGACCAACCATGTCCACAATATCTCTCAGTCTAGCTAAGCCTGGGAAGGCGATGCCGGGGCCGTACAGCAGCTTGATGCATGCCACCGAAGCGGCGCTGTCGAGGTTCGCCGAGCGCGGCGAAATCCGGGGACACCGTCACCGACGAGCGCGTTTGAGTATTCACTCCGGACAAAGACGGCCGCACGCACACGAGCTGCGGTCGTGCGGCCGTCATAGCGGCGAGGCGCGGGACCGTCTGTGGCGAAGTGGCTAGTGGGTCGCGTCCCCGGATTTCGTTCAACCCACCCTCCACACCCTCTAGGGCCCAGCCCCACCTTGCCACCTCCCCGTACACTTTTTACCGTACGGCCTCCTCCCTACGGCTTTACGCCGGTCCGAACGTCGACGTAAACGTAGGCGGTAAGGAGCTGATACAGCTGTCTATGTAGACGGACAGAGGTCAGAGAGAGCCACGGAGCGGCGTGCATGCGCAACCCGCGACGAGAGCAAAACGTATACGATCTAGGGTGGGGGGCGCACGGTGACCCCAGAGGAGGAAGGCAGTCACGTGCTCCCCTTCGTCGGCTTCGGCCCGCGGAGTGCGCTCCACGCGCGATCGCGCTGCACGACGCCGCGCCAGTACGAGTCCGGCTCGAAGCCCTCGGTGCAGCCAGGAGAGACGAAGGGCTGCTCGCAGCCGCAGAGCTGCTTCCAGCCGTCGCCCGCCAGCCGCCGCATCAGCGCATCGTTGGCGGAGCCGTCGGCCACGGATCCGGAGATGAAGTGGACCTTGGAGCGCATCTTCGCGTCGATGAGCTTCGCGGAGAAGGCCCACAGGCCGGAGAACACGCGCGGCGGTCGGTAGACGATGATGTGGCCTAGAGAGAGGCTCGACACGCCTCGGGGCAAGGGCGAGGACGCCCGACGTGGGCAGGCGACGGCGAGGCCCGCAGACTCGGGGAAGTGGTTCATGAGCATCTCGAGCGTCTCCTTGGCGTGCGAGGGCGGCGGCGAGTTGAGCAGCGAGAAGCGGTGCAGCTTGATGACGATCAGCAGCTTGTCCGGCGGCGGGGCCTGCAGCCCGGGCGCAGGCGCCCCTCCCTCGCCACCGCCACGCGCGCGCGCGAGCTCCGCCTGCCGCAGCGCGAGCTGGATGCAAAAGGCGAAGTAGCGCATCGAGGCCTGCAGCGAGGAGCCGGAGCGCTGCACCGAGTTGTCGAGCACGAGCACGCCTCTCCCATGGCAGTCCACTCCGTCCGGAACGTAGACCTTGCCCCGGCCGCCCTCGAGCCGCAGAAAGGCGCCGTCGGCCGAGTCGAGGTCGCAGAGCGGGCCCGGAGGCGAACGGCGCACCCGCCACAGCAAGGCGGCGTGCAGCATGTCAGCAGCAGGAGGGACGGCCCAGCCGCGCGCCACCAGGTAGCGGCAGCAGGCCAGGTCGTCGTCCAGCACCGCCTCCTCGTCCTCACCCAGCGAGATCCCTGCACGCGCCACGCTCTTGCGCACAGTCTCACGAAGCGCTGCGAGTGCCTCCCGTTGATCTGCGTCTTGCAGCGGGAGCGGCGGCACCGAACGAAGGTGCACGCGCGGGACCAGGTGCTCGCCGGCGGCGGCGGCGGCGGCGGCGGCGGCGGTGACGGCGGCGGCGGTGGCGTCGGAGCCGGAGCGAGGCAGCGCCTTGAGCAGCGTTGCGAGGGAAGAGAGCCGTCGGAGGAGGTGGAGCAGGAGGAGCACGTTCACGATCTGCAGCCAAACGCGAAGCTGCTGGAGGGCCTCGCCATGCGGCAAGCTCGCCGTCGACAGCAGCGAGCCGAGCATCCAGACATGCGGCGCCCCTCCTGCCCTGACCCTGAACACTCCAGTGAGGCCCCGCACGGCAGCTGTGGGAAAAAAAGGAAGCACAAGAAACAGGAGCCGAGCATCCAGGGGGAAAAGAAAAAATCAGAAAAAACTCTTTCGTGCAGCCGACTCGCCCTGCAGCTCCGGCTCCTGCTCCGCACGCTGGCACCGACATGCAATCTGACGCGCAGCAGCACGCGGCCCTCGCCACATACGCACGCTTCTGGTGCCTGCACCAGCTCGCGCCGTTCGCCGACCAGGCCTTTGCGCTTGCGGGAGCTATGGATCACCGTGCGCTCCGCCCGCCTGCCCTGCTCGCGCCTCCTAGGACGGGTCATTGTTCTCGACACAACCAGTGCGGCGCGACGAGCTTCCGCGGCTGCTCTCACTCCTCCTCCTTCCGAGCAGGCATGATCGACGAGAGCTGCCAGACCGGGCCAGGCGCCTGCCTGCGCGCCCACTTTGACTACGACTGGCTCGTACGACTGCCGCTCGCGCTGGCCTGCCTGCTCTTCCCCGGCCGGCGGCTCCTCCTTCTCGCGCACCTCGTCAACGTCGTCGGATGGGCCGACCGGATGCCGGCCGGGCCGGACTTGCATGTCCGCAGACCAGAGAGGGTCCGTCTCTGAGCCGTCGCTCGAGCGCCTCCTGCTAGGCGGTGTGGGACTATATGTGCTGGTGCGCGCTGATGGAGGCCCCCTTCGTGCTCGCCGCCGCCACATCCTCCTCGATGGCGGAGACGGCTCGCAAGTTCCTCCCGGCGATGCGCGCGCAGCTAGTCGTCCTCTACTTCTCGGCCGCCTTTTGGAAGCTCACTTCCTCGTGGTGCGAGATGCAGACGAGATGCAGACGAGATGCAGCCGAGATGCGGCCGCCTGTTGGAAGCTCTAATCCTTCCCGGCAGGTACGACGGCCACTACTCGTGCTCGACAGTCCTCATGTCGGAACTGCTCCTCTCGCCGCGAGCCGCTCCTCCCCGCCGCTCCAGCCCCGTACCCCCAGCCACGCCACGGAATAGGAGCTCCTCTCTTGCCTCGAGCCCCTCGGAATGAGCCATTCCTTCACCAGCCACGCCTCAGTCGATAGGAGCTCCTCTCCGGCCTCGAGCCCCTCTTCCCGCCCCTCGCCACCCTGAGCGGGCTCATGCTGCACGCGGCGCCCGCCCTCGTCGCCGGCATCGAGTTCGCAGTGCCGGCCCTGCTGCTCCTGCAGCCACGCCACGGCAACCCTCCCTCTCCAACCCTCCTCTCCAACCCCTCCTCCCCGCCTCGCCCCCCTCTCCTCCCCCTCTCCCTGCACGCCCCCGTCCCGCCCCCCTCCGGCTGCTGCTCGCCCTCATCTTCCACCAGACCTCCTCATGACTGACCGAATGACGGACTCCTCGTTCATGACGACTCACTAGGCGTCCTGCTCGCCCTCGTCTTCCACCAGACCATCAACCTGATGCCAGCCACCTACGCCGGCGGCTTCTCCATCGCCATGTGCGCGCGACAAATCATCTTCCTCCCCGCCGCCGCCGCCGGCGCATCGGCAACTCTCCGCCGCGGCGTCGGCTTCGCTCCGCGGGCCGTCGGCGCCACCGCGCTCGTCGCCGTCACCACGGGCGTGCGGCTGTTCCTCGGCCACACTCCGGCCACACCTCGGCCACACCTCGGCCACCCCTCGGCCACACTCCGGCCACCCCTCGGCCACACCTCGGCCACACCTCGGCCACACCTCGGCCACACCTCGGCCACCCCTCGGCCACCCGTATGGAGTGTGGTCAACAAGCCGGCGGTGCGGTCGTGATGTCGAAAATGCGGGCTGAAAGAAAGACAAGGATAAAGTACCTCCCCGCCAGGCGTGATGGTCGCCATCCACGGCTCGCTCGACGCGCACGGCGGCATCTTCCTCGCCCTCGCCCTCTTCTACTTCCTCTCGATCGCCGCGCCGGCAGGCGGTGGCGGTGGCGGTGCCTCGGGCGCATACGGACACCTCCGCCTCGAGGAGCAGCCGCACGCTGTCGCCAAGATGGCGAGCCGACTACTCCAGCCCGACTACTCCGGCCCTACTCCAGCACAGCCACCCCAGCCCGACTCCAGCCCAACTGCTCCAGCCCAGCCAGCGTAGTCCCCCCCCCCCCCCCCCCCCACACCCCCTGCTAGGCCACCTTCGTCGCGCTCGTCGCCGTTCCGCCCGCGGCCCTCCCCTCAGCCACGCTACCGTGCTGCGGCCTCGGCGTGGCGCTCCTCTGCCTCTGGGCGCCGCGCTTCCCTCTCCGCTTCGCGCTCGCCCACGCCACCGACCTCACCGGCGCCGCCGCCGCCGCCGCCGCCGCGTACGGCTTCCTCGGCCCCGTGCTCGGGCTGCAGATGATGGCGAGCTCGACGATGTACGGCAACGTCAAGAACTACGGCGACGCGCTTCCTCGTCCTCACTCTCCCCTCCACGGCCAAACCGCACCCGTCTGCCGACAGGCGGCTCGAACCACCTCCTCGTCCCCACGGGGCTGCTGCAGACCGCCCTCGCGGAGCAAAGCAGCGCCGCTGCCGCACCGGCGTGGCTGTCCGACGCCTTTGGCGGAGGGCTCGTCCGCATCGACGCGACGAACTCGTCCGTCCGCCTTCCCATCGGAGGAGTGTGGACAGCGCCTCTGCTCACGCCCTCCCATTGTGAACAGGTCCGTCTTGCTCTCGCTCGCGGCGCCGAGCGGACGGGCGGGCTCCGGTAGGGCTCCGAGCAGAGGCTCGGGGGACGGCCGTGTAGGTGGGCGGCGCCGAGATGACAGACAAGCTTCCTCTGCGCGCGAGAGAGCTCCTCTCCTCCGCCAACGCGAGCGGCCGCTACTTTGAGTTCTACGCCGCGAGGAACTACTACGAGCGAAGCTACGACCACGACAAGACCGCGCTGCACGCCGCCGCCGCCGCAGCGGGCGCCACGGCGCGCGCCGAGCAGCCGCTCGTTCGGCCGCGGCTCGTCTCTTGAGGCGCGCGGTGGCGGTCCTAGGACTCGTCCGACCCCGCGTACGTCATACCCGCCTACGAGCTCCGCCGCTCCCTCGCGCTCGCGCGGCGGCGCTGCGATCCCTCCTCCCCCTCGAGTCGACACGAACCTTCTCTGACCCTTCTCCGAACCCTCCTGCAGGCGCGGCGAGCCCTTCTCCCTCGAGTACACCCCTCTCCCGCCCGGCCTCGGCACGCCCACGCAGTGGCGCGCGCACGCGGGGGAGAAGGCTCGCCCCGCTGCAGAGGCGCGGCGGAAGAGGCCCGCGTCGCGCGCGCACGCCCGCCGCCGCCCGCCGCAGGTGAGTCTCGACGAGGCGGCGGACGGGCTCGTCTCGTGCGTGGTCGGGCGGGCGCGCGAGGCGTGCGGCGCGGCGGAGCTCGCGCTCCTCCCGCCGCCGCCGTGGCTGCTCACGCGCGTGCTGCTGCCCTACCCGATCCCGCTGCTCGACGGCGCAGGCGACGGAATCCACTGCACGACGTGAACCAGCTCGGCATTGCTGTACTCTTGGGCCCACCGAGCGCCGATCCGACTCGCCGCTCTTGTGAAGGGAAGGCGGGCGCGCGACACATTAGCCACAAACGTCAGACGACGGCTGTGGGATGGCATGGGGGCGATTACTCTACCTATTTCGGGAGGGCGAATTACCGGAATTCGTCGCCCGCGCGGATCGTATTCGTTTGTCCCCGTCGCCAGACTGCCGTACGTGTGTATAGTAGAAAATCGAGCGTACGTAGAGTAGCTGCGCGTGTCGAGGCTCTGAGCTTTCCAATGAGTCTTGCGAGACCGTTAAAAAATATAAATTCATTTGCTGATGCTGGGTTTTTGGGCATTGGGGGCGGGGGCCGGGAAATAAAAAATTGTTATTTGGGATGAATTGTTATTTGGGGGGGCATTCCCATTCGAGATACTCGTCTGGGTAAGACTTATACACACACACACACTCTCTCTCCATCACCAGCAACGCCACCGGTAGAGGAGGGAGTCCAACTCTCCCCTCGTCAGGTTGGCGGGGTTCGCGCTGCCCCACCCGAGCCGCCCCTCGTCCTGTGGGGGGAGCACGCTCGCGCACGCCGCGCCGCTCGACGGCGGCAGCGGCCGCTCGGGGTCGGCGTGGGTGGCGAGCCCCTCCGCTGTCCAGCATGCGCGCAGCTTGTACAGCCACGAGCAGCGCCACCGCTGCGAGCGGATGGCGAGCACCGCCTGCCGGTTGAGCAGCGCGAAATAGCCGTCGAGCAGCTCGTCGAGCAGCTCCGCCGCGCCGCACCGCTCGCCACAGCTCGGCCGGCCGTCGACGCGCTTGCCGAGGCACGGCTGCCCAATCGGCGCGCCCCGTGCGTCGAGCGGCCGCGCGCACGAGTGCGCTCCGCCCTCCGCCAAGCACGAGCCCGCTGGCGCCGGCGGCGCCGAGCAAAGGCACGCGCGGTGCTCGCCGCCGGCGTCGGGCGGCCGGTCGCTAGGCCGGTCGTCGGCCCTCCCGCCCCAGTCGTGCACCGCCCACGTTGGGCTCTGCCGCCACCAGCCGAGGCGCTCTCCCGCCCACAGCGGCGTGCGCACGCGCCGGTTGCCGTTGAGCCCTGGCAGCTTGGCCGCGGCGGGGTGGCCCGGCTCGACGCGCGAGACGAGGGAGCGGTAGACAGCCGCGAGCCGCGCCCACGCGCAGATCCACCGAAGCGAGTGCGCGAGCTCGGCCGCCACCGCCGCCGCGTACCGCGCGGCGAGCGCTTCAAAGTCGCGCCGAGCGCGCGCGAGTGCCATCGCACCTAGAAGGTTTCTAGAAGGTTCCTAGAAGGTTCCTAGAAGGTTCCTAGAAGCGCGCGCGAGTGCCATCTACCCGCGGCGGGCGGTGCGCCGCCGCCGCCGCCGCCGCCGCCGCCGCCGCCGCCGCTCACGTCGCCGCTGTCGTCAAAGGCGCTCTCTGCGCACTCGCCGACGGAAACGTTGAGGCGCTCGGCGCCGGGCAGCGCGAGCGCGGCGTCGCCGTAGAGAAGGTGCGGCGCCGCCTTCTCCGAGAGCGGCCGGTGGCGGCGCAGCGCCGTGCGCCGGCGTAGCAGCGCGCCGACGGCGCCAAGCGCGTCGTCGGGCGCGAACGCTCCGAGGCCGCTCACGCGCACGCACTCGGGCTGCGCGCCGGCGCGCCACGGCGGCAGCGGGTGGCGGCGCGCGTGCTCGCGCCACGCGGGCTTCGACTCGGAGAGGTGGAGCAGCATCGCCTAGCAGCAGTAGCAGTGGGGCAACCTTTGTTCCAAGATCATGCTCCGACTGGAGTGCAGAGGTGGAGCAGCATCGCCTCGCGCTCGTTGACGAGCAGCTTGCCGCCGCGCAGCTCGAAGCGCAGCGCGCCGCACGGGCAGAAGGTGCACTCGACGTCGGCGCAGCTCTTCGCCTCGGCGAACGGGAGGAGCGCGCGCGACATGACGAGTTCGCCCGCGTCGGAGAGGCGAGTCATCACGTCGCCCATCGTCTCGAAGCCGCGCGCCGAGAGCGGCCCCCACCACTCATCAAAGTGTGCGTACTCGGCTGTGCCGACGATTTGCCGCCACTTGGGCGCCCGCCGGAAGAGAGAGGTGGTGGTGGCGGGCGGTCGCGCGCCGGCGGCGGAGGCGCCGCCCTCCACGCGGAAGGCCGTGAACGGGCCCCAGCACTTTTTGCGCCAAGGGTTGGGGTAGAGCGGGCTCACCGCCGTCACGCGCTCGCCTGCCGTGCACGGGCACGCACGCGCGTCGCGCCACGTGTCTGCCGACCGGCCGGGCGGAGCACGCGACGAGTTGAAGCACGGCGAGCGGCGGTCGCGCCGCAGCCGCTTGGAGCACTGGAGCTCGCGCCCGGCGCAGCACGCGGGCGCGCGCAGCGCCAGTGCCATGTGAGCGCGCAGATCGCCGTACACCACGTCGAGGTCGCTCCACGCCCACCAGGAGCGCCCAGCGAGCAGGTGCGGGTACAGCTCTGGGAGGAGCGGCTTGATGTCGTTGGCCTTGTACTGCCGCGTGTACGACACCCGCCGCCCGCTGAGCGCGCCGAGCCTCGCCTGCATCTCGACCCAGCCGACCGTCTCGAAGCGCACGTTCGGCGGCAGGCCGGTATATGGCGGCGGCGCGTCGCCGACGACCGAAAAGGAGACGGTCGGGTTCGCCGCCATCGACGCGAGAGTGAGCGGCAGCCACGGCGGAAGCGGTCCGAAGTAGACGATCAGCACCGCGAGAAAATTCTCGTCGAGGTCGATGACCGAGTCCGACAGCATGGCTCGCTCGGTCAAAAAAGGCGCTGTTCATCATTCGCACAACCCCGTGCAGGGGGCCGTTCATGCAAAAACACTCCTTTTCACTTGAAAACATCTGTCTCGTTCTCCTGTCTGATCGGTGCCATCGCCCATCGCGGGCGGGCCGCGATGTTCCAATCAATGCGCCCATCTCAATACACTCTCACGTTCACAGCAAAGTAGATGAAGTCGCCAACGTGATCGTGTTACAGGGAAGTGCAACAAATGCTGCGGCGTGCAACTAAATGAGGCGCGCCGCGTCGGACGTCGCGTCGCGACGCGAGAGGGAGAGCGCGGTCTGCTACTGCTCACGTGGCAAGCGTCGAGAGCTCTCCGGACTTGAGCATGCGGACCCCGGAGGCCCTGCGAGGAGGCGAGACGATGCCGCCCGGCCCACCGCCTCGGACTCCGATTTCGAATGACTCTCGCGAGGTATACCGAGTCACGATTGTTCCCGTTGTCCTATCAGAGAGGGGGGCTAGGGGTCGGGACGGGAGATGTGGGGTTGGCCAGAGTAGCCCGTGTCCACGCCTTTTTGCTCTCCATGCATCCTCTTACATGCTTAGAACACACGAGCAGCTCACAAAAAGAACGTCCCGAACCGCATCTGCGATCTCGCAAAATCTCGATTTTGTCTCGTGCGGAGCGAGCCGAGCCCGAGGCGGCGGAGGGGCGGCAGCGGCTCGACGGGCGGCTCGGTCAGATGCAGGTCACGGCTCTTGCCGGGGCTAGCCCTGGCGACCCCTTCCAGGTGAACAAGTGTACAAGCGCGCTGCCAGGAAGCCTGCCAGGAAGCACCGGAAGAATTTCCAGAACCTGTTCTTTCTTCGGAGGCGCAGAGCCGCTCACCACTCCCGTAGGTTCCCCTGTGTCCCTGATCGTCCTTACAAGATCCTGCTCGTGCAGGTGGGGACCTTGTCCTGGCAGAGCGTCCTCCCATGTCCCATCCCTCCCTTGGGGTGTCTGTTTTCTTTCTTTCTTTCTGCGTTTCTCGCGTTTACTAGCTCCGAGTAGAGGGTGCGCTCCGCTGCTAGGGGAAACCCAAAGCGCGGACTATCCCTCGTGGACGGAGACCCGTGTCCTAGCTCCGAGTAGGGAGAGGGGGCGTTCTGCAGTCAAGGGGAAACCCGGTACACGGAACTAGAAAGAAGACTTATTTCGTTGGTTTCATCTCTCTCGGAACTATCCCTCGGAGACCCGTGTTAGGCCCTGCGAACGCGCACGGGGGTGGCGGTGTGTGCGGGCCCGAGAGCCGCGATGTGTCATTGTGTGTCCGCCTGGCGTTTGTTGTCATAACGTCGAAGGCTAGCTCAAAAGAGAATTTTACAACTACTCGCTGCCTACTCGCTGCCTCGAGGGAGGAGGGGAAGACGTAGGGCTGCATGCGCGCCTTTCCTGAGGCCCCTCCCCGAAAGGCAAGTTTAGCCTCACGAAACCCGAGAGCGAGACCCCTCCCCCCCGCCCCGATCCCCCCACCCCCTTGCTCCCCTCCCCCCTCGGGAGGGCCGAAGAGAGGCGCCCGTGGGGACCCCGCAATTCCCTTCCCCCCTCGGAGGGCCGGACTGAGGCGTCGGGGCCCCCGCTCTTCCCCTCGCATAGCGGCCACTCTTCGGATCGCTGGTCGAGCGACCCGGGGGATGCCCCGCGCGCCTGACCCAGGCACGAAAACGAATCTGCGAGGCGTGGCCGCTCATGCGGCCCGATGGGGAGGAGCGGGGCAGACTACGGGGATCGGCTTCTTACACAGCCCTTCCCTGCAGCGAGCCCCCCTCCAACCCACCCGCGCTAGGTCCCGGGGGACACAGGGGTCAGCCCCGCGCGACCTCGGGAACTAGCCGGGGCAGTCGGAGAAGGGGCAACTCCGTGCACTGACGGTCGGCCGTCAGAAAACACGCCTCCGTGGCTCGGGTTACACCAATCCTCGCTACCCAACGCGGCCAAAGGATATCCACCTCGAGAACCTCGAGAACCTCTCACACAAAAGAGAATTTTACAACAAAAGAGAAATCCTGCCGTCGAAACTTCAAGTGCGTGCGAGACGCGATGAGGGGCGGCGCAGGCGGGGAACGGGAGCGGGGAGCGCATCACGGAGTAATGTCGGGGGTAAGAAAAGCCGAGTCTCGTGGTCCGGGACCCTTGTAAGTCGCATCTCGGCACGGGCCGCTCTGCGCCCCTCCCTGGCCTCCCGATTCGTAACCGTGTTTCCCCGCGGGTTGCAGAGGGTGTGGGGTGTGACAGGAGGCGACGGCACATCTGGTGGCACGGCAAGAAAAAACGCACGCCGCCCGTCGAGCCGCTGTGCAGCGCCACGCGGCCGTCGAACTCCGCCACTGACGACGAGCGGCTGGTCGGATTCACTTCCGCTTGGACTGGTCGGGCGGGTCTATCCCACGGTAGAAGACTCCATGACACTGGCCTCCTTCCTCCTAACCTCACGCCTCCTACCCTCACGCCTCCGTGTCGCGTCGCGCGCTGAAGTACTGGTAGCCAGGAGAGCTGGTCTGAACCAAGCCCGCTCCTTGGTCAAAGAAGATTTGGGCCTGCTTCAACGTCACTGAGCCAAAGCCCGTCGCCTCCAGCGCGTCGCGCACCTCGTCTGCGCTCTCAAACTTGAACGTCCACGCACAGCCGAACTTCATCATCACACCGTTGTCCGCGGCGTCCGCGCAGCCCAAACCACTGACAAACGCGCACCCCATGAACCACGAGCCTGGTGCCATGAGCCCGCGAACCTGCTTGAAAAGGCCCTCGGTCACGTCCTTGTCCGGCAGGTACATAAGTAGCCCCTCTGCGAGGATGAAAGCTGGCCTTTCCATGTCGAAACCGGCATCTGCCACGAGCCTCCCCCACCTGGCCTCACTCAAGTCGGCGTCCACCTCAACCCGCTTGCACTTCGCACCCCGCAGGTGCGCGAGCTTCTTTGCGTGGGACTCGGTCGTGCCATCGCGGATAGGTTGCTCCTGCTCGATTTCTGCGAGCCGCTCGCGCTTGAACTCATGTGCGCAAGCCACGTCAACCTCAAACACGGTCACGCCCTCACCCAGTGGGAGGCGCCATGCGCGCGTGTCGAGCCCCGAGCCGAGAAGCAAGAGCTGCGTGCACCCGCTCTGGACAGCCTGCAACATTGCGGCGTCGTAGTAGTTCGTGCGGTGGATTATTCCCCGGGCCTCGCCTTCAGGCGTGCTGCCGCCAGCCGCGCGAAAGGCGTTCAGGAAAGCGCGGCCGAGATCGCCCGCAAAGCTCTCCGCCAGCATGTCAGGCTCGCCAAGGTCGGGATCGATGCCGAGCCTCGTGGCCTCTGCACGCATGGCGCAGACCAAAGCGGCAGTGGGAAACGCCGAGCCGGAGCCGTGGGTCGCCATTGTGCCACTGGTAAAAAGCGCGGGCCCCGGCGCGCCCCCTTTCCCGCCTTTTTCAGCTTTTTCCGGTTCCCATTCCTCCCTTGGCTTGTCCGTTTTCTTTCTTTCTTTCTGTGAGAGAGAGTTCTGTTGTTTAAATTCTTTCTTTCTTTCTTTCTTTTCCGGTTCCCATTCGTGCACCTAGCCTACCCATTCCGGGCACAGACCAAATAAATGTCGTTCACGTTTACTTGCGAGCGAGGGGGCTTCGTCGTGTCCTTACAGTGGGTTGCGGGCATTAAGAAAACGTCGCATTAAGAACCCCTACCAAGAGATTTCCGCAAAAATCTAAGAAACCACGGCGCGCCGCAGGCGCGGCCCCGAGAAAAGGCCAGCCAGACACGAGTCTCGTGTGAACGGGAGCGGCCCCAGCTCAAAATTTCTCTTCGCCTGCGGCGCGCGCACTTGTCACTTTCCAAGTCTACGGTGTTCTGAGTGGAGTGGAGATGGAGGCGTGTGTGCGTCTTCCCGTCATCCAGAGAGCCGACTCGGCGGCAGACTCTCTGGCATCGCCCTCGCGGACCGCAGCTAGCAGCTTACCTCTTACCTAAAATCCTTAGGGGGCCGGCTCTGGCCTGAGTGCCGGCCGGAGCTAAGAAACCACGGCGTGGGGTGGGTGAGGGCCGCTGTGGAAAGGCTTAGAAACGGCGGCGTGCCGCCAAATTCTGTTTTCTTAATGCCCGCAACCCACTGTAATTTTGTTGTCGCCTCTGTGAGCTGCCGACAGCTCCGGTCGCGACGCTGCTGCCGATGGACACATGGACACTTCGGCGCTCATCATGGGAAGGACATCACGCCTTTTTCGACCCCGATAAGGTGGCTCGCCTCACCCGCGCTCCACGCCTGGCCGCCGACTCTCGTGCGTGGGCCGCCACCACGTGAACTTTCTTTCCGTGCCCTACACATTGTGTATGCCCCTATGTTGTGGTGTCGCCACCGTGGACTTACCCAGTACCCAGGTGACTATGTATGTATGTAGACTATGTGCTAAAGCTAGATCTCCCCTACCGAGCCAAGATCAATACCTGGTTCGGTCGGCGGCGGGCTTTGCCCACCAACATTGATGCGGGCATGGTATTCGGGTTTGTTTGTTCGGGTGATCAGATCACTACCGCCGAAACGCAAGAGCACTGCGACGCATCGGGCTCATGCTAGCATCCCATTTGGATCGCGTATTTTTTGCTTGCTGTCCACCTCTCCTCACGTTGAAGGATAACCTACATAGCCGCGGCGCGGCTATCTCCGAGCAACCTAAGAACCGAAAAAAGAACACCGCGGAGCGAGAGAGAGCCTCGCGGCCATCGACGGCGCTGACCCAGGGCCTGAGTGGAGCGCGAGGTCGCATGGCGACGGCGTACGAGCTGCTGGGCGTGCCGCGTGACGCGAGCAGCGACGAGGTGCGCACGCCCTCCTCCAGCCAAGCTCGTGCCAGCCGAAGCCGAAGCCCTCTGACAGCCCGAGTTGCGCCGGCGCAGCTGCGGCGTGCGTACCACCGGCTGGCGCGCGAGCAGCACCCCGACCGCGCGGCCGGCTCGTTGTCTCGAGCGGCCAGCGTCGATTTTGTGGCGCTGCAGGAGGCGTGGGAGGCGGTGCGGCCACACCGTTCTGGCCACGGCACGACGCGGGTGCCGTGTCGTGAGGCGAGGCGCTTCTGCTAGGTGCGCGATCCCGAGGCGCGGCGACTGTATGACGCGTCGCTCCGCGCGGACGAGGCCGCGGCGGCTCGCGTGCGGGCCCGCGCGGCGCCGGTCGACCTGGGGGAGGTGCCGGCGCCCCTCCTGCCCCGGTGGCATGCCGGCACCCTGTTGAGCGCTCTATGTGCAAGTAGATGGATTACGCCGAGGGGAGCGACGGGCAAGGCGTTTGGAGCTACGCCTGCCGGTGCGGCGCCGCCTTTGAGCTGACGGAGCAGATGCTCTGCGCCGGCATCGAGGCGCGGTGCCGCTGCCCCGCTCCGCGCAGCTCGCGCGCAGCTCATTGCCCCCTCGCCGGTCGCGCAGACGCTCGAGTGCTCGTGCTGCTCGCTCGCTATACGGCCGCTGTATGCGAGAGCGGCGGAGGATGAGGAACGACACGCTCCAGAGACGTCGATGCACTGCGGGGCAGGAATTGAGACGAGATGATACATAGATATGTAAAGCTGTATCTGTGCATGCATGTGCGCATGTGTGCATGTGTGCACATGCAAGAGATCTAAGAGTACGTATACGTCAGTACGAATCAAAAATAACGACTACTAGGAGATGGGTAACACGGAGCCCAGGCTGCAGGCAGGTGGTCCGCCCGCCCCCATATTATAGTTTTTACGAATCCCTTGGAGTTGGTTGGCCCTCGCAGCTGCGGTGTGATACAACGCTGGGTCTCAAGGTCCGACAGGTTCGGCACCGGGCACCGCCTCGGTACGGCGGAGGGCCTGCCGACCGTTGCTGCCGCACGACAACTCACCCATCCCACATCCCACACCACCTCTCCCATCCATTTCAACTCACCTCCATTCTATCACACAACCCACACCACCTCACACTACCACCATCATCCACCACCTCCTACGCGCCACACGTGGTTCTTCATGTGCTGCAGCGCGACGTAGATCGTGTTCTCGCCGCGACCCGTGCGCACCGTCGGCTCCTCGTCCCGCGCGTCGCCCCGCTCGGTCGCGTGCCACCGGCTCGCCCTCGGCGCGGTGATTCGCGTCGTCGCCAGCCACTTGCCGAAGCGGATCGTCCACCGCATCGTCGGGTGCAGACCGAGAGCCGTCCGCTGCATCGGCACGCTCTTCCCCGCCGCGGCCTGCGCCGCCAGGAACTCGCGCAGCCGCAGGCGCACGACCCGAAGGTGCGCCGACAGCGCCGGCCCGTGGGGCGCTAGCATCGGCCGCTCATCGCCACGCGCAGCCTCGTCCTGCTGCTCGTCATCCTCTCCGCCTCGAGGGCGTCCGCCAGCGCGCTGCGCCGCACACCGCGGCGCACAGGAGGCGGCGCCGGCCGCACCTCGGCCGCCTCGGCGGCGCCCGCGGCACGGGCGCCATGCTCGCCGTCCGCGCGGTCCATCGCCGCATCCCCATCCCCGTCTGCAGCAGCGCCGCCTGCGCCCGCGCCGGCCTGCTCTGGGACGGCGCGCCACCGCTCGTCGTCCAGCATGTGCCACCACCGCCGACCCGAGTAGCCGTCGTACTCGATCTCGTGCACGATCCGTCCCGTCCCCGTCCTCCTCCCGCGCCATGACGGTCGCAGGGTACCACCGCTCGCTGTCGCAGAATATCTCGAGGCGCGATCCGGTGGACAGGACAGTGTGGCCGTCGAGCGCCGCCCTGGCATCCTCGCGCTGTCGCTTCCGCCGCTTCGCCTTCGTCTCCTTGCTGCGCAGCAGCGTGTAGTTCGGGCCCACCTCCGCCACGCTGTCCAGCACGTGGGCGGCGCTCGCCATCTCGACCGCGTCGTCCTCCGGCGGAAGCTCCGCGTCGCCCGCGGCCGCTTCCCGAGCGCGCTCGTCGCGCATCCGCTCGTGGTGGGCCTGCCGACGCGCCACACCGGCGCCCGTGTGCCTCGCCGCCGCGTCCGGCGACGGCATCAGTGCTGTCCGCCCGAGCGTGACTCGCCACTCCACGACTTCCACGACCTCCACGACCGCCGAAAAGCACGACCGCGGAAAAGTTCGCCCACTCGCTCTGCCCCAAACCTAAATCCTCTCTCTTTGTACATACATACAATTTTTAATATCCTCCCACTCTCCCGGGGACCGCGCCCCACACACAGACACACCCGCCAGAGGGACACACCCGCGCCAGGGACACAACGGACAACGTGCGTACGTTACGGCGTACGGAGGTAGGGTTCGATACAATTGTACTTTTTCCGTTCCGTTTTATACGAGCACCGTACCACTAAGCACTCCAGTAGACGTACATGAAGCAAAAACAAAGGAAGGCCACCCCGCCCGGCTGCGAACACCCACCATGACACCGCAACAGTGTCAATGTCCGCAAGCACGAAGTAGTCGCGCTCCCCGCTAAGCTCGCGTAGACAAACGTACGCGCCGCTCGCCCTCTCTCAGTCTTATACTCCACGCGCGGTGCTTCAATAAGAGCGGTGCTTCAATAAGAGCGCGGCCTCCTCGCCTTAGTCGTTAGCGCCGCCGGCGCCGCGCCTGCCTGCAACGCGCGCGCGCCAGTCGCCCTTGACGGGCGCGAAGTTGGAGTTGCCTGCGCGCTCCTCTTCGGTGAGCGAGCCGCGCCACTCCTCCAGCCGCGCGTGCCTTGGCGGCGGTGGGGCAGAGAGGCACCTCAGTGTGCACCTCAGTGCCGGCAGTGTGCGGCCGGTGTGAGGGCGGCGGGAGGGGGGGGAGGGGGGAGTCGCCTCTCTGCCTCGAGCTCAGCGATGGATCTTGGCCTCGCGTCGCGTCTCGCCTCCTCCGCCTCTGCCTCCTCCTCCGCCTCCGCCTCGGCGCGTGCCGCGTTCCAGCGCTGCACGAGGTTCCCCTGACACGGCACAGGAGGGAGGGAGGGGGGGGGGGGGGGAGCAGATCAGGCGGCAGTCCTGGAGGCACCTCTCTAGCCGCGGGCCGACCCTCTACCGCCCCCGCGAGAGGCACCGGCGCCGAGCGGTCGGGCGCGCGCTTGCGACGCGTCCGCGCCGGGACGAGCACGCCTCCTCCTGCGCGTAGCTGCGAGAGAGAGAGGGGGGGAGCACCTCCCGGGGGAGTGATCTCCCGGGGGAGCACCGCGGAGCCCCCGTCAAGCCTTCCCTCCGTCGGAAAGGGAGGAGGCGGGAAGCCTCCCTGGAGGCGGCCTGCCCCGGCCCCTTGCCCCTCCCCTCGAGCGCCAGCCTTCCTCCACGCCCCTCTCCCGCCCTCCCTTGCCCCCGCCCGGCATCACTCTCGCGCAAGCCCGCACGCGCCCAAAGAAGAGGACGCAGCCCAAGGGTGGAGAGAGGTGCGGGGCGGGAGAGAGGTGCGGGGCGGGAGAAGAGCCCCCGCCACCGCCCTCCTCCTCCGCCGCGCCGCAAACGAGCGCCACCCAAACGCCCGCTTGCCGCGAGCCGGAAGCGCGACGCGCACCAGCGGCGAGAGAGGCCGCGAGAGAGGCGGAGCTGTGGTGGGGAGCGTGCGGCGGCGCACCATTCGCTTGGCAGCGCTCCCCTTTGCGGCGCGGCTCGAGCTGGGCTTGTCGAGGGCTTGTCGCTTCTTCGGCCTGCTCGAGTGCTGAGGACGGTGAGAACAAGTGACATCAGCAGTCCCCCAGCCCCCTCAGAACAGCTGCTCTGGCCTGCTCGCAGCACTGCTCGCCGCACCCCGCTCCGCCGCGGCTCCGCCCTCCTCCTCGCCTGCGCGCGAGACCGCCCTCTCTTCCTCTCCCCCCCCTCTCCCTCTCCCTCTCCCCCTCTCTCTCTCCCCCTCTCTCTCTCCCCAGGCGCGGGACAGCCCACCCGCGCCCGTGAGAGGCTGGCGCGGGCCCTTCTCTCCCCGCTCAGAAGGGGCCGCGCCTCCGCCAGCAGCGCCTCCGCCAGCAGCGCCTCCGCCAGCAGGGCCTCCGCCAGCAGGGCTCGCCTGCAGGAAGTGTCCGAGAAGGGTCAGGGGTGGGCCCCACTTCTGCGGCGACCCCCTTCCGCAGGAGCCGCTAGCCGAGCGCTCCGCCGCCGCCCCGCCCGACGCCGCGCCCGACGCAGCGCCACCAGAGGAAGAAGAAGCGCCGCCCGAAGAGGAGGGGGTGGGCAAGCTCTGCTGCTGCTGCTGCTGCTGCTGCTGCTGCTGCTGCTGCTGCTGCTGCTGCTGCAGCGCCGCTCGACGCTCCGGGTGCATCGCAGCCCTCGCCGTCGCACGCCTCACCCACTCCGCGTCCGAGACGACGGGCGCCCCCCCCTCCGCCCCCGCCGCCCCCCCCTCCGCCCCCTCCGCCCCCTCCTCCGCCCCCTCCGCCCCCCCCTCCGCCCCCCCCTCCTCCGCCCCCTCCGCCCCCTCCGCCCCCTCCGCCTCCTCCCCCTCCTCCCCCTCCTTGGCCGCCGGCGGGTCCCACTGCGCCGCGCCGCTTGCAGGGTGCGCCTGACGCCTCTCACAGAAGCGCCTCTCACGGATGCGTCTCCAGCAGCCCTCCCCTTGCGCGAAGGTGCGACACAGCGGCGCGCATAGCAGTAGCCGCGCTCGACACCTCGGCTGCCTCTCGGCTGTCTCTCGGCTGCACCTCGGCTGCCTCTCGGCTGCCTCTCGGCTGCCCCTCGGCTGCCCCTCGGCTGCACCTCGGCTGCACCTCGGCTGCACCTCGGCTGCACCTCGGCTGCACCTCGGCTGCACCTCGGCTGCACCTCGGCTGCACCTCGGCTGCACCTCGGCTGCACCTCGGCTGCCTCTCGGCGGTCTCTCGGCTGCCTCTCGGCTGCCTCTCGGCTGCCTCTCGGCTGCACCTCGGCTGCACCTCGGCTGCACCTCGGCTGCACCTCGGCTGCACCTCGGCTGCACCTCGGCTGCCTCTCGGCTGCCTCTCGGCTGCATCTCGGCTAGATCGCGCGTAATAGTAGCCGCGGCTGGACACGTCCCACGCGCGCGTCCAGCCGGGAGGCAGGTGGAGCGCCTATTCACAGCTACACTACTCACAGCTACACTATTCACAGCGTCCATCCGGGCGGCAGGTGTGTCGCCTCGAGGGTGTGGAGCAGCTGTGCGCCGTCTCGGTGGAGGAGGGACCAGAGGTACGGGCTCTGCAGCGCTCCCGCCTGCAGAGGAGGCGGGAGGGGGGGGAGGGTGTGTGTCTGTGTGTGTGTGTGTGTGTGTGTGTGTGTGTGTGTGTGTGTGTGTGTGTGTGTGTG